GACTGGCTGGAAGAAGGAACTACCTAGTGAGGAAAGCCAAAGGATGCTGAGGTCATTGCTGCTTAGTCTTTCATGGGCTCTGTGCTGCAGCCTCTGTCAGACCAGGTGTGGCAGCTTTTCTCAGTGTGACCTGGCTCCCTGGCTCCCCACCCCTGGCATTAGAGTCATCTGGAATGATTGTTTAATTGATCTCTGACCTCACTATATCTTCTGAATCAGGCTCTCTGAAAGAAAGCCTTGCAACCTGCATATTTTATTTTATTTTGATGGAGTCTTGCTTTGTCACCCAGGCTGGAGTGTAGCAGCATGACCTTGGCTCACTGCAACCTCCGCCTCCCAGGTTCAAACGATTCCCCTGCCTCAGCCTCTCAAGTAGCTGGAATTACAGGCATGTGCCACCACACCAGGCTAATTTTTGTATTTTTTAGTAGCGATGGGGTTTCACCATGTTGGCCAGGCTGGTCTTGAACTCCTGACCTCAAGTGATCCACCTGCCTTGGCCTCCCAAATTGCTGGGATTATAGGTGTGAGCCACTATGTCCAGCCGGAACCTACATTTAAAATATGCCCTTCTGGTGATCATTCTGCCCTCTAACACTGGAGAACTGCCTTTGTAAGGTAAAGAAGATTGGCTTCCTCCCTCCCTTGTCATGCAGGCTTGTCCTCCTGTTGCCCATGGTCTTGCTGTCATGGGGCCTCCTTCCCTCCTCCACTCCCAAGCCCGCCATCTTCTTGGGTGATTTCAAATCTATGGAGAGAAATGTATTGATGTCTGAGGATAACATAAAACTGAAAGTTAAGTGTTCAGGAGGGGAAAAGAGCCTTTGAAAGGGACAGGATAGAATCCAATAAAAAAAGACCCCACAGACCATGGTGTCTTGGTATCCAGGGAGAAGAGAGTTCCTATGATGGAGTGATCAAGCCGTGTTTGTTAGTGGCTTATGAGTAAGTTCACCGGAGAGTGGCCTGCAGTGGTTGAGGTGTATGGTAATGCCAGGGGAGGAAGTGGCAACCCAGTGTGTAAATGACTCTTGAAATATGTTGGCTGTGAGGGGACAATGGGTGGGAGGAGGTGACAGCTAATGGGGTGGGGGGGCCACTTGGAGAAGAGGGTTTATGGCAGAGACCTGAGCGTGTTGTCAGGTGAGGGGAAAGATCCTGTTGAACGGGATAAGGTGAAGATAAATTGGTATCAGTTGCATTGCGGGACATGCAACTCCATTCCTTGTGTCAGCCCGGGAGAGAAGGTCTCGTTTCCATTATTTGCGAGAGAAGGCTGTGTAAGGACAAATAGAAATTAAAAATAAGGCTAATTCTCCCAGTTGAACATAAGGGAAGAGGGTTTCCTGGTCTCCTTTTTCTTAAATTTAGAAAACTTGTAAGTACTTTCTCTTCTCTTTGAAATGTATAGGTAAGGCGTGGTGGCTCACGCCTGTAATCACAGCACTTTGGGAGACTGAGGCAGGTGAATCGCTTGAACTCAGGACTTCAAAACCAGCCTGGGCAACACGGTGAAACACTGTCTCTACAAATAATACAAAAATTAACCGGGTGTGGTGTTGTGTACCTGCAGTTCTGGCTATCTGGGAGGCTGAGATGGGAGGATCGCTTTTGCCTGAGAGTTAGTGACTGCAGTGAACTGTGATTGCACCACTGCAATCCAGCCTGGGTGACAAAGTGAGATCCTGTCTCAGAAAAAATAATGTATATAAATCCTTTTGAAAACTAGATAGGTTATTTATCAGCTTGATGACTCAGAAATGTCTTTCTCAAGGATCTGAGAACCTGTCTTTCAAATGGAAACAACCCTATGTTCTATTTTCTGTGGGAAGACAGGACCCGAACTGGGTGCGGTGGGGAGGGGGTGTATCTTACTTCACATTGCAAAATTCCCTCCTGTCATAAAGATATTAGAGGTTTGTTTTTTCTCTGGATAAAGCCAATTTGCTAACAGGTGGTCACACCAATTACCAGGTGAATCTGGGATGCGCTGTGCCTGACAGATGGTGCTGTCAGATCCTCATACTTGGGGACTAGTTGTTGCTTATCTTGAAAACAAGTATGTAATTGGTGATATCTGCTTGTATATATAAAGAATACAATTTTATCCTTGTCTTTGCAGTCTCTTAGTGGATTGCTCGTGGTTTAATGTTTATTCAATTAAAAAAAGTATTTTCTTTTTCTACTACCTATGGATACAGGTTTTCTGGGTTGGAAGAATATTTCGTTTTTAATTATATTTTCCCAACAGCTGATACTTAAAGAGGGATTCGAATTTCCTCTGAAGTTACACAGCAGAGGCTATTGGAAATTATTGAACATTTCCGCACATTATTTTCCTTCTTGACTTGCTATGAGGGTTAAGTCCTTGGTATCGGGCCAGTGTTTCCTTCCCTGGCACAATCCAGGTTCGTTTCCTTGTCCCCTAGGCCCGGATTGTGTTCAGAGACACCTCGCTCGCCTCCTAGTGGTCAGGTCGTGACTTGCAGGCTCTGCTACCAAGTTACCCTTCTGACTTCATTCACTTTCCGCTTGTCAACACATACGAAATATGCGATTTCTTTTCTTTTTCTTTTCTCTCCCTCTCTAAATTAAAATCACCGTATGGTTCACCATGATCTTGAAGAGCACACTATTTCCTGGTGCCCTCGGCAGGAGTCTCTGACCTCTCTCTAAAGTGTGAATCCGATTCTCATGCCTACTCCTCATTAGAGAGCTGCTTTGAATATGGCTGGTCTTTGTAGAAGCAGAGTCTGCTAAGTGCACAAGTTTAGAGGGTTTAGCCTTTTTCTGTTTATGGCCACCAATAGGTGGTAACTGACACCAGGACGCTCCCTTGACCAGATACAGTGATGTTGTAGATACAGGCAGCAGAGTGTGAGAGTGAGTGATGGCGTGAGGGCATTCCCTTATCTCAGAAGAGCTGAACCCCAGATGAATCAGGATGATCTCCAGCTGGGACTCAGCATTCGGGAAGGGAGAGGACAAGGACTCCTTCCCCACTCTGCTCTTGGGAGGGTCTCCAGGATGCAGAATACAACTTAAGTTATTGTTCCAACTTAATTTCCATCATGTTGGTAATTTAGGTACCCTCAATTCTTTAGTATCATAATAATGCCATAATTAAGTATCTATACCTAAATATTTGCTTAACTTTTGGATTATTTTCTTAAGACATATTTGTATGTGCAAAATTACTGATTTAAAGAACATGAATGTCAAAAAATGATTTTAATTACTACTACAAGCTTAGAAATATTGTACAGCTTATGTTCCTACCAATATTTATATGAGTTCTGGTTTTACTGTATTATTGGCAGCACTGTAAAGTATTTGTATTTTTAAAAAACTTTAATCTGGGTGTGGAGGCTTATGCCTGCAATCCTAGTACTTTGAAAGACTGAGGCAGGTAGATCACTTGAGCCTGGAAGTTTGAGATCAGCCTGGGCAACATGGTAAAACCCTGACTCTACAAATAAAAGAATGAGATCCTGTCATTTGCAGCAACATGGATGGAACTGGAGGTCATTATGTTAAGTGAAATAAGCCAAGCACAGAAAGACAAACTTTACATGTTCTCTCTTATTTGTGAAAGCTAAAAATTAAAACAATTGAACTTATGGAGATAGAGAATAAAAGGATGGTTATCAGAGGCTGGGAAGTGTAGTGAGGTGGGTGTGCAGCGGTAGGGGGAATGGTTAATGAGTACAAAAAAATTTAGAATGAATAAGAGCTAATGTCTGATAACAGGGTGATGATAGTCAATAATAATTTAATTGTACACTTAAAAATAACTAAAAGAGTATAATTATATTGCAAACCAAAAAAAAAGTCTGAGATGATGGATACCTCATTTACCCTGGTGTGATTATTATACATTGTATGCCTGTCTTAAAATATCCCATATATACCATAAATAAGTATATAAATCTATGTACCCATAAAAATTAAAGACAAAACAAAACCAAAAACCACAGCCTTGCACAAAGGCTACTGCAACCTTGAACAAAAAATACTTCTGCCAGGACATCTGCCCACCAACTGCCTGTCTAACCTTGGACTGGTGCCACCTTTGTTACTGATCCTTGTAACCAAAGATAATTGATTCAAAACAATTGTGCAATCCTTCTTATTTTTCTTTTTAAAACTTTTTTCTTCCCTTACTGTGTATTCACCCTTCTCTGAATACACACATAGTTTGTGATGGCATGCATATTCCCATTGCAATGCTCATTCTTAAATAACTATCATTTTCTTTTAGAGAGCTTTTCTTTATCTGTTATGTAAGTTGATGTGACTCACATAACTGTTCCCAAACAGCTAAATTACTTTTCTCCGACTTCTGAATTACCCAATAGCAGGTTGGGGCCTGTAGAATGTTGGTACACAAAAGGGTTATGTATGTCTATAGTTTTTACAATGAAAATTGTAGAACGTGAAAGTTAATTTGGTACATCGTGTCTGCTGGTGGTATGCAGAAAGTACAGTCTGAGCTTTGTCCCAAGTGAAGTGCGTATCAGATTCTTATAGTGGAAAGGCAAGGCATAAGACTTTTTTGAATATTAAAAGAAAACAAAAGTAAAGTAAATGCATTGTAAAATACTGTCAGCTGAAAGGAATGTTGTTGTATTGAGTGTCAGTTCCAGGAAGTTACTCAAAACTTAAAGGTGTAGCAATCCTGTTTATACAGTTTCTCCTCCTATAGGCACTTTACTTCATCTTGAAACCCATAGGGAGTAATTGGAAAGAACATGGGTTTCAGGCAAGTTTTTAATTCTTTTCACAAATCCCCTTTTTATTTATCTTTAAAATAAAGATTGTTGCAAGAATGGATTTAGATAATACATGCATGGTACTTAATACAGAGGAAGCATTAAGCACAGTAATTCCTGTTGTACAGAGCTCCACATGTAGGCAGTTCAGACGTACTTCCCAGGGCCCTGGCACTGGTGCCTGTCCCTCCTGCTGAAGTTGCCTTTCCTGGTGTCCAATGATTGAATTCTAAATTCAGCACATATGCCAGAGGAACGCGAGCCAAAGAAGTTGTTACAGCTACAGTTGCTGGGAATCCATGAATCAAAGACTTGCTCAGCTAGTTCTGTATGTGAAAGGAAATGGGTGTGACACTGAAGAAGCCTTTTTAATTCTGATTCAGGAGATACATAATTAGATGCTACTTGATTTTGTTCCACAGATTTTTGGCTGAGAAGGACTTGAGAGCTAAGGTTCTGTGATCCAGAACTGGTTCCAGACTTACTCTTCTGGAAATGAAGAGGGCCCTCCCTGTGCTTATTTTTCCAGGATTGGAAATTGAATCAGGGACCCGTTGTTGAGAAGAGAACAGTGAGCAGAATCACATTGACCTGGTCCTGGAATTTGTCTGACAATTTCTGCTTGACTGCAGGAGGTCTGAAGACTGGAAGGGGCCCCACTCAATTGTGCTATTTCTCTCTCTCTCTTTTTTTTTTCTTTTGAGACGGAGTCGCCCAGGCTGGAGGGCAGTGGTGCGATCTCAGCTAACTGCAACCTCTGCCTCCTGGGTTCAAGCAGTTCTCTGCCTCAGCCTCCCAAGTAACTGGTATTACAGGTGCCTGCCACCACTCCTGGCTAATTTTTGCATTTTTAGTAGAGACGGGATTTCACCATCTTGGCCAGGCTGATCTTGAACTCCTGACCTTGTGATCCACCAGCTTCAGCCTCCTAAAGTGCTGGGATTACAGACGTGAGCCACGGCGCCCGGCCAATTGTGCTATTTCTCTACAGGACAAAAGGATATATAATTTGGTAAGTCCTAATGGGATCGGGGATGAAAAGAAAAGGTACCATCATCAGCGACAAAAATGTTCAGGATGGGTTTGTGAGATGAGTCAAAGAATTTTCTTTTCCTACATAATTTGACTGAAAAGGAAGTGAAGTTCTTTTTAATAATGGAGAATTCCTGATAGCGTGTAAGGCTAAGGAATATATCTTTGATACATTGTTGTACACGTCCAGTCTTGGAGAAGCTTCTTATGTTCTTATTATTCTCTGTTGTCCAGTGAGCTCTTACGTGGCCCATATCAGACAGAATTGAAATGGTCACATCAGGACTTCTACATGAACTGTTGAAAATTCTGACTCTCTTCATTATTGAACATATTTAGAATGTTCAAAAACCGAATTCCTATAGTTAGGAAATCCTATTCCTATTTGTTTTAATTATAACCATACAATTATACTGTTAATTGTAACAATACAATTATACTGTTTTAGCTATTTTTAACTGTACAATTATTGACTATAGTCACCCCGTTGTGTTATCAAATACTAGATCTTATTCAGAAATACTAGATCTTATTCAGTCTAACTATTTTTTTGGTACTCATTAACCATCCCCACCTCCCTCCCACCCCCTAATACCCTTCCCAGCCTCTGGTAACCATCATTTGACTCTCTATCTCCATAACTTCAATTGTCTTAATGTTTAGCTCTCATAAATAAGTGAGAACACGTAAAGTTTGTCTTTTTGTGCCTGGTTTACTTACTTAATCACCTCTAGTCCTATCTATGTTGTTGCGAATGACAGGATCTCTCCTTTTTTTTTTGAGATGGAGTTTTGCTCTTGTTGCCCAGGCTGGAGTGCAACAGTGTGATCTTGGCTCACTGCAACCTCCACTTCCTGGGTTCAAGTGATTCTCCTGCCTCAGCCTCCCGAGTAGCTGGGATTACAGGCATGTGACACCACATCTGGCTAATTTTGTATTTTTAGTAGAGACGGGATTTCTCCATGTTGGTCAGGCTGGTCTTGAACTCCTGACCTCAGGTGATCCACCCGCCTCAGCCTCCCAAAGTGCTGGGATTACAGGTATGAGCCACCGCGCCCAGCCGATCTCATTCTTTTTTATGGTTGAGTAGTACTTTGTTATGTATATGTACCACATTTTGTTTAACTGTTCATTTGTTGATGGACACTTGCATTGTTTCCCAGTTCCCAGTATTGTGAACAGTGCTGCAACAAACATGGGAGTGCAGATATCTCTTCAATATACTGTTTTTCTTTCTTTTGAGTGTATACCCAGTAGAGAGGTTGCTGGGTTGTATGGCAGCTCTATTTTTAGCTTTTTGAGGAAGGTCCAAACTGTTCTCCATAGTGGCTGTACTAATTTACAGTCCCACAAACAGGGTACAAAGTTCTCTATTCTCCACCTTCTCTCCAGCATTTTTTATTAACGGGTGAGATTTTAACAGGGGTGAGATTATATCTCATTGTAGTTTTGATTACCATTTTTAACATGGGTGAGATTATATCTCATTGTAGTTTTGATTGACATTTTTCTGATAACTAAAAATGTTGAAGACCTTTTCATATGAGTTTTTCATTTGTATGTATTCCTTTGAGAAATGTTTATTCAACTCTTTTGACCATATTTTAATCCAATTGTTATATTTTTCCTATAGAGTTGTGTGGGCTCCTTATATTTTCTAGTTATTAATCCCTTTTCAGATGGGCGGTTTGCAAATATTTTCTCCCATTCTGTGGGTTGTATTTTTCTGTTGCTGATTTTTCCTTTTGCTGGAAGGAAGCTTTGTAACTTGATGAGATCCAGTTTGTCTATTTTTGCTTTGGTTACCTGTGCTTATGGTGTATTACTTAAGAAATTTTTACCTAGACCAATGTCCTAGAGAGTTTCCCCAATGTTTTCCTGTAGTAGTTTCACAGTTTGAGGCTTTAGATTGAAGTCTTTAATCTATTTTGATTTTATTTTTGTACATGATGAGAGAGAGTGGTGTAGTTTCAGTCTTCTGCATATGAATATCCAGCTTTCCCAGCACCATTTATTGAAGAGACTGTCCTTTCTCTAATGTATGTTCTTGGCACCTTGGTAAAAAATGAGCTTACTGTAGGTGTATGGATTTGTTTCTGGGTTCTTGATTATTTTTCTTTGGTCTATGTGTTTGCTTTCATGCCAGTACCATGCTGCTTTGGTTACTGTAGCTCTGTAGTATAATTTGATGTCAGATAATATGATTCCTTGAGTTTTGCTCTTTTTGCTTAGGATAGATTTGGTTATTCTGGGTCTTCTGTGTTTCCATATACATTTTAGGATTGTTTTTTCTCTTTCTGTGAAGAATGTCATTGGTATTTTGATAGAATTTGCATAGAATCTGAAGATTGCTTTGTATAGTATGGATATTTTAACAATGTTGATTCTTCCAATCTATGAACATGGAATATCTTTTCATTTTTTTGTGTCATCTTTAGTTTCTTTCATCAATGTTTTATAGTTTTCATTGAAGAGATTTTTCACTTCTTCTGTTAAATTAATTCCTAGGAATTTAATTTTATTTGTGGCTCTTATAAATGGGATAACTTTCTTGATTTTCTTTTCCGATTCTTCGCTGTTGGCATATAGAAGTGCTACTGATTTTTGGATGTTGATTTTGTATACTGTAACTTTAATGAATTTATAACTTCTTTTTTTTTTTTTTTTTTTTTTTTGAGATGGAGTCTCACTCTGTCACCCAGGCTGGAGTGCAGTGGCGTTATCTCGGCTCACTCCAAGCTCTGCCTCCCAGGTTCACGCCATTCTCCTGCTTCAGCCTCCCAAGTAACTGGGACTACAGGCTCCCGCCACCACGCCTGGCTAATTTTTTGTACTTTTTAGTAGAGACGGGGTTTCACCGTGTTAGCCAGGATGGTCTCGATCTCCTGACTTTGTGATCCACCCACCTTGGCCTCCCAAAGTGCAGGGATTACAGGCATGAGCCACTGCGCCTGGCCAATGAATTTATAACTTCTAATAGTTTTTTTGTTGTTGGAATCTTTAGGTTGTTCCAAATATAAGACCACATCATCTACAAACAAGGACAATTTGACTTCTTCCTTTCCAATTAGGATGCCCTTTATTTTTTCCTTCTCCCCATTTAGTAAGTCTGTCATATATGACTTTTTATTATGTTGAGGTATGTTCCTTCTATACCCACTTTTTTGAGGGATTTTATCATCAAGGGACATTGAGTTTTATCAAGTGTTTTTCAGCATTAATGGAAATGATCACATGGTTTTTGTCGTTCGTTCTGTTAATATAAGGTATCACATTGATTGATTTGTGTATGTTGTACCATCCTTGCATCCCTGGGATAAATCCCACTTGGTCATGATAAATGATGTTTTTAATGTATTGTTGAATTTAGTTTCCTAGTATTTTGTTGAGGATGTTTCCATCAATATTCATCAGAGATATTGGCTTGTAGTTTTTTTGAAGTTTCTTTGTCTTGTTTTTTATTAGGGTAATATTGGCCTCATAAAATGAGTTTGGAAGTATTCCCTCTTTGTCTATTTTTAAAAATAGTTTGAATAGGATTGGTATTAGCTCTTCTTTAAATGTTTGGTAGAATTCAGCATTGAATTCATTGGGTCCCAGGTTTTTATTTACTGGGAGACATTTTATTACGGCCTTGCTCTCATTAACTGTGATTGATATGTTCAGGTTTTGGATTTCTTCAAGGTTCAATCTTGGTAGGCTCTATGTTTCTGGGAATTTATCAATTTCCTCTAGATTTTCCAATTTATTGGTATATAGTTGCTCATAGTAGCCACCAATAATCTTTTGAATTCCTGCAGTATGAGTTATAATGTTTTCTTTTTCATCTATGTTTTTATTTATTTGGGCCTTCTCTCTTTTTTCTTAGTCTGCCTAAAGATTTGTCTATTTTGTTTATCTTTTCAACATAGCAACTTTCATTTCATTCATCTTTTATATTGTTTTCTTCATTTTAACTTTATTTCTGCTCGATCATTATTGTTTATTATTTTCTACTAATTTTGGGTTTGGTCTGCTCTTGGTTTTCTAGTTCTTTAAAATGCATCATTAGGTTATTTATTTGAAAATTTTATTCTCTTTTGATGTAGACACTTATAGCTATAAATTTCCCTCTTTGTACTGCTTTTGCTGTATCCATGGGTTTTGGTATGTTTGCATTATCATTTGTTTCAAGAAATGTTTCAATTTCCTCATCAATTTCTTCATTGGCCCATCAGTCATTCAGGAGCATATTGTTTACTTTCCGTGTGTTTGTATAATTTCTAAAATTTCTATTATTGATTTCTAGTTTTATTCCATTGTGTTCAGAGAAGATATGTTATATTATTTCAACTTTTTGAGTGTTTTAATACTAGTTCTGTGACCTAACATATGGTCCACTCTTGAGAATGATCCATGTGATGAGAAGAAAAAACGTGTATTCTGCGTCCATTGGATAAAATGTTCTGTAAATACCTATTAGGTTCATTTGTTCTATAGTACAGATTGAGTGCAATGTCTCCTTGCTGATTTTCTGTCTGGGAGATCTGTCCAATGCTGAAAGCGAGGTGTTGAAGTCTCTAGCTATTATTGTATTGGGGTCTACCTCTTTAGCTCTAATCTGAATCTAAATCTATTTTGTCTGATATATATAGCTATTCCTGCTCTTTTTTGGTTTCCATTGTCACAAATATATTTTCCATTCTTATGTTTTTATTCCATGTGTATCTTTATAGGAGAAGTGTATTTCTTGTAGGTAACAGATCATTGGGTCTTGTTTTTTAATTAATAATCACTGTATGTCTTTAGATTGGACAGTTTAGTTCATTTACATTTAATGTTATTACTAATAAGTGAGGACTTTTGGTATTTTAGTTTTTGTTTTCTGGTTGTTTTGTGATCTTCTGTTTCTTCTTCATTTTCCTCTTCCTTTTAGTGAAGGTAATTTTCACTGATGGCATATTTTAATTTCTTGTTTTTCATTTTTTGCTTATTCATTGCATGTTTTTAGATTTGAAATTACTATGAGGCTTGCAAATGCTATCTTATAACTCAATATTTTAAATGGATGACAACTTAATAGTGATTGCATAAACAAACAAGCACAAAAAGAAAACTAATAAAAACTCTACACTTTAACTTCGTCTCTCTGCTTTTTAACTGTTGTTTCTCTTTATGTCCTATGGTACTATGTTTTGAAAGTTGTAGTTGTTTCTGATTGGTTTATCATTTGGCCTTTCTACTTAAGATAAGAGTAGTTTACATACCACAATTGCAGTGTTACAATATTATGTGTTTTTCTGTGTGCTTCCTACTACCATTGAATTTTGTACCTTCAGATGATTTCTTCTTGCTCATTAACATCCTTTTCTTTCAGACCGAACAACTCCCTGTTTGTAAGACAGGTTTGGTGTTGATGAACTCTCTCAGTTTTTGTCTGTCTGGGAAAGTCTTTATTTCTCCTTCATCCTTGAAGCATAATTTTTGCCAGATATACTACTCTAAGGTAAAAGTTTTTTTCCCTTTAGCGTATTAAATATGTCATGCCACTGTCTCTTGGCCTGTAAGGTTTCCAGTGAAAAGTCTGATACTAGATGTATTGGAATTTTATTGTTTGCTATGTTTTCTTTTCTTTTGCCACTTTAGGATTCTTAGTTTATACTTGATATTTGGGAGTTTGATTAACAAATGTCTGAGGTAGTCTTCTTTGGGTTAAATTAGCTGGGTGTTCTGTTACCTTCTTGTACCTTGTACGTGAATATTGGTATCTTACTCTGGGTTTGGGAAGTTCTCCCTTTGCATAAACTTTCTACACCTATCTCTTTCTCAATCTTCTCTTTAAGGCCAATAACTCTTAGATTTGCCCTTTTGAGGCTATTTTCTACATCTTGTAGCATGCTTCATTTTTCTTTTGTCTCCTTTGACTATATATTTTCAAATAGCCTGTTTTCAAGATCATTAATTCTTCCTTCTGTTTGATCAATTCTGTTATTAAGAGATGCTGATGCATTCTCCTGTAGGTCAATGTATTTTTCAACTCCAGAATTTCTGCTTCTTTTTAATTATTTCAATTTCCTTAAAAAATGTATCTGATAGAATTCTGAATTCCTTTTATGTGTTATCTTGAATTCTTTTGAGTGTCCTCAAAAGAGCTACTTTGAATTCTTTGTTTGAATGATTACATATCTCTGTCTCTCTGGGATTGGTCCCTGATGCCTTATTTAGTCTATTTGGTAAGGTCATGTTTTCCTGAATAGTCTTTTTTTTTTTTTTAAATTCAAAATTACATTTTATTGCAGAATTTAAAAATAGTTTTCCTTATAGGCTTCCTGGACTAGAGACTTACATTTTCTTTCTTTCTTTTTAAAATTATATATATTTTTTCTTTTTCTATACTTTTATTTTAAGTTCAGGGGTACATGTGTAGGTTTGTTATATAGGTAAACTTGTATCATGGGAGTTTGTTGTACAAATTATTTTGTCACCAAGGTATTAAGCCTAGTACCCATTTGTTATTTTTCCTGATCCTCTCCCTCCTCCCACCCTCCATCCTCTACCTTCCAGTAGGCCCCAGTGTGCGTTGGTCCCCTCCATGAGTGTATGTGTTCTCATCATTTAGCTCCCACTTATAAGTGAAAACGTGGTATTTGGTTTTCTGTTTCTGTGTTAGTTTATTAGGGATAATGACTGCCAGCTCCACTGGGAGCTGTCCTTGATCTTGTTCTTTTTTTTGGCTACATAGTATTCCATGAGGTATATGTACCACATTTTCTTTATCCAGTCCACAATTGATGGGTATTTAGGGTTTATTCCATGTCTTTGCTATTGTGAATAGTGCTGCAATGAACATACGCAAGCATGTGTCTTTATTATAAAATGATATCTATTCTTTTGGGTATATACCCAGTAATGAGCTTGCTGGGTCAGATGGTGTTTCTGTCTTTAGGACTTTGAGGAATCACCGAATTGTCTTTCACAATGGTTGAACTGATTTACATTCCCATCAACAGTGTATAAGCATTCCTTTTTCTCCACAACCTTGCCAGCATCTGTTATTTTTTGACTTTTATTAATAGCCATTCAGACTTGTGTCAGTTGATATCTCATTGTGGTTTTGATTTGCATTTCTCTAATGATCAGTGATGTTGAGCTTTTTTTAAATAAGATTGTTGGCCACATGTATGTCTTTTTTTTTGAAAAGTGCCTCAGCAAATATTGCTGCCTGATCTTTCCTCTGGAAGCTTCATCTCAGAGGGGCACCCGGCTGTATAAGGTGTCAGTCGGCCCCTACTGGCAGACGTCTCCCAGTTAGGCTACACGGGGGTCAGGGACTCCCTTGAGGAGGCAGTCTATCTGCCCTCAGAGCTCAAACTCTGTGCTGGGATAACCACTGCTCTGTTCAGAGCTGTCAGTCGGGGACGTTTAAGTCAGCAGAAGTTTCTGCTCCCTTTTGTTCAGCTATGCCCTGAGTCTACAGAGGCAGAAAGCCCTCGTTGAGCTGCAGTGGGCTCCACCCAGTTTGAGCTTCCTGGTGGCTTTGTTTACCTACTCAAGCCTCAGCAATAGCAGACACCCCTCTGCCAGCCCAGGCTGCCAGCTGGCAGTTCAATCTTGGACTGCTGCACTAGCACTGAGCAAGGCTCTGTGGGCGTGGGACCTGCCGAGCCAGGCGCAGGATATAATCTCCTGGTGTGCTGTTTGCTAAGACTATTGGAAAAGTGCAGTATTAGGGCAGGAATGTCCCGATTTTCCAGGTACAGTCTGTCACGGCTTCCCTTGGCTAGGAAGGGGAAATTCCCCAACCCCTTGCACTTCCCTGGTGAGGCAACACCCTGCCCTGCTTGGGCTCACCCTCCGTGGACTGCACCTACTATGCAACCAGTCCCAGCGAGATGAACCAGGTACCTCAGTTGGAAATGCAGAAATCACCTGTCTTCTGCATCGATCACGCTGGGAGTTGCAGACTGGAACTGTTGTTATTCGGCCATCTTGGAATGATCCTCCGCAAACCATCCTTTTCATATATGTTGTTTTTACCTTCAGTGTAGACTAGGACCTGATCATTTCTCATTACTTTGAGTGCAATGCCCTGGCCTACCCTGTCATTAATGATTACCTGTATTATTGCAAAACTGCCCTACTAGACTTCCCACTTCTGCCTGAACTCCCTTACTGCAGGCTAATGTCAACCCAGCCACCATAGACATCTCTCTGCAAAAGATGCATCAGATATGTCACTTGTGTTCTCAAATCCCTCCAAAGGCTTTTAATCTCACTTCAAGTAAAAGAGAGTGATGAAAATGACTGATAGGGGCCTTCACCAACTTGCCTTCAGTTTCTTCTGACCTCATCTTCTTTCCTTTCCACCTCACATATTCCAGGCATGCATTGCTTCTAAATCTTTTCACTTGCTGATTTCTCTACCTGGAATTCTTTTCTCCACATAATGTTCATTGTTTATACCTTGCCTCCTCTACATTATTGTTCAACTGTCACTTCTCAGTGTGGCTTTCTCGGTCAAACTGCAAACACCAACATATTCTCTACCACTACTCATATCATCTTAACATAAACGCCGCCTTCCCTCTGGCCCTTTAGTTGATGACAGTATTGAGCCCTTCCTTCTTCTTGTTATTTAGAGTATCCCTGGGTTAGAGGTGAGGAGATACCCAGGATTTCCTACTCCAACCATAAGGGGCAATGAATTTCACAGCAGTGCCTCTGTCAGAAGCCCAAATTGTCTTTAGAAGCCCAAAGTTGAAAGCCAGTTGTGGTAGTGTGTGCCTGTAATCCCAGATGCTAGGTAGGCTGAGGTGGGAGAATCACTTAAGCCCAAGAGTTCAAGACCAGTCTGGGCAACATGGCAAGACCCTGTCTCAAAAACAACAACAAAATGAACTCAAAGTTGAGAAAGTTATAATCTAGTCACTATTTTAAGTTAAGACCTGCTAATCTCATATGTAGATCTTTTCCTTTAGGGGAAATATCAATAATTGGTGAGAGTTTAACCATTTTCTTCCTTTCCCAACTGATGTTCTCCTTTCATCTCCTCCTAGCAACATGCCCTCCATGTTTGAACGCATTAGCAAAAATTTGATCAAAGAGATTGGAAGCAAAGACCTGACACCTGTCAAATACCTACTGAGTGCCACCAAATTACGTCAGTTTGTTATATTACGAAAGAAGGATTCTCGTTCATCTATTTGGGGACAATCTGACTATGTTCCAGTTGGATTCTCCCTCAATGATATCCTGGAGCCAAGTTCTTCAGTCCCAGGTATTGTCAGCCAGAGGCCTAGGAGGTGAGGGGTGAAAAACATGGGTGGTAAGAAAAAGATGGCCCAGCATCCAAAAATAACTGAGCACCTAGAAAGGAACTCTCAGGACTAGCCTTGCCTGTAGACAAGGGGCAAGAAACAAAGACAAATTGAGAATCCTACTAATTATCTGGATGTAGGCATTCATTAGGTCATTTAATATTTGCATCAGGCTCATGAGGATATTATCCCCATTTTACATAAGAGTAAATAGAAGGTTATACAATTGTCTGTTCAAAGTTACGTACCTGGGGGCTGGGCACTGTGGCTCATGCCTATAATTTCAGCACTTTGGGAGACTGAGGCGGGCAGATCACTTGAGGCCAGGAGTTCGAGATCAGTCTGGTCAACATGCCGAAACCCAGACAGGGTGGTGCACTCTTGTACTCTCATATACTCGGGAGGCTGAGACTCAATCATTGCTTGAGCCCAGAAGGTGGAGGTTGCAGTGAGCTGAGACTGCACCAATGCACTCCAGCCTGGATGACAGAGTGAGACTGTCTCAAAACAACAACCACCACCAAACAAAAACCAGTTACATCCCTGGGAACTGGTAGAACTGCGATCCAAACCCAGGTCTGTCTGGCTCCACATCCCAAACATTTTCGGCCCCAGTGTGCTGCCCTCTGCGGCTGGGTGCTGTGCCTGCTGCAGAGGAGACAGTGTGCGTGGAAGGATGATCCCAGGGGTCTTCTGGACACTGTACATTTGACACCACTACTTCTCAGGGTGAAGATTTTATCTCTGTCACACAGTGCCCCTTTAAACATTTAAACATTTTCTGTCTGTAGTAATTTACATTCAGTTGATTAGTTAGTTTTCAACAGAGTTTTAAATGAGTGGGAGGGTTGGGGCAAAAATAGGTCTTTGTGATTTCATTCTGCTCACCAGCTGTTCTTGGCTAAACCTTTGAATTCTTGAATGAATTCTTGGCTAAACCTATGGTCATCTTTTCTTTCCCAGAAACTGTTGTGACAGGACCGTTCCACTTCAGTGACGTTGTGATCCAGAAGCATAAGGCTGATGTGAGTGTGAATGTTGGTGTAGAAGTGAGTGTGTCAGGGGAGGCCTCTGTGGACCATGGATGCTCCCTTGAGTTTCAAATTGTTACCATCCCATCTCCAAACCTGGAAGACTTTCAAAAAAGGTGAGGTCATGGGAGAGGAAGGGGATGGATCATCAGTATCCCAGTGGGTGCTATCCTTGAACACAAAAATACATCTAGCAAGTCTTGTTGCAGGAATGAAAATCAAGATGATGACATCCCAGATTTTGCTACTCTTTTTAAGTATTCATATCTTCCTTTACTCGAGTAATTGCTATTAGTTACCTAACAAATACTTATTAGAGCAGTAACTACCCACTACTGTGTTGTTATTCATTGGGGATAGAATGAAAACAAGACAGATGTAAATACCTGTCATAAAGCAGCTTACATTTAGTGGAGACAAGGGATGGGCAGGGAGTAAGAAAATAAGCAATAAAAAATAAATTAACAAAGTATTAATTTAAGTGAGACAAAGACTCTAAAACTGTTTATTTAAATAACATGTACATTACTGTCTTGGGATTTATTTTTATTTTTTCCAGCTCTATTGAGATATAGTTGACAAATAAAATTGTGTGAATTTAAGGTGTACAATGTGATGATTTGATGTATGTGTATATTGTGAAAAGACCACAATAAAGGCAGTTAACATATTTATTACTTCCCCTCGTTATCATTTTTTTTTGTGGTGAGAACATTTAATATCTACTCAGCAAATTTCAAACATACAATACAGTATTGTTAGTCTGTGTTCCCTTTGACCAATGTCCCCCCATTTCCCTGACTTCCTAACCCCTGCTAACCACCATTATATTTTGTTTCTATAAGTTTGACTTTTACAGGTTCCACATATATGTGAGATTATACAGTATTTGTATTTCTCTGTTTGACTTTTATTTAGCATAAAGCCATCAAGGTTTATCCATGTTGTTGCAAATAGCAGGGTTTATTCCTTTTTTATGGCTGAATAATATTCCATTGTACACACATACCATGATTTCTTTTTCCATTCATCTGCTGACAGGCACTTAGGTTGTTTTGGTGTCTTGGTTTTTGTGAACAATGCTGCAATGAACATAGAAGTGCAGATATGTCTTTGAGCTACTGATTTAGTTTTCATTGGCTGTATACCCAGAAATGGGATTGCTGGATCATATGGTAGTTCTAGTTTTAGTTTTTTGAAGAACCAACATACTGTTTTCCATATGGCTATATCAATTACATTCCAACTAATAGTATACAAGGATTTCCTTTAATTCACATCTTTGCCAACACTTATCTTTTTGTTAAAAGCCATCCTAACAGATGTGAAGTTTTGTCTCATTGTGGTTTTGATTTGTATGTCCCTGATAAGTAATTTTGAGCACCATTTCATGTGCCTGTTAGCTTATTTGTATGTCTTTTTTTGGAGAAAATATCTATTTAGGTCCTTTGCCTATTTTTTAAATAAAGATTTTTGTTTTTGTTTTTGCAATTTAGCTATATGAATTCTTTTTTTATTATTATTATACTTTAAGTTCTAGGGTACATGTGCATAACGTGCAGGTTTGTTACATATGTATACTTGTGCCATGTTGGTGTGCTGCACCCATCAACTCGTCAGCACCATGAATTCTTTATATATTTTAGATATTAACCCTTTATCAGGTTTGCAAATATTTTTGACCATTCTGTAGGTTGCATTTTCACCCTGTTGATTGTTTCCTTTGCTGTGCAGAAGCTTTTTAGTTTGCTGAATACCACTTTTCTTTTTTTAGCTGCTGGTGCTTTTGGTGTCATATCAAACAAATTGTTGCCATAACCATTCTTGAGGACCTTTCCCCCTGTATTTTCTTCTAAAAATGTTTTAAGGTTCCGTATCTTATATTTAGGTTTCTAATCTACTTGGAGTTGATCTTTGTGTATAAGGTAAGGACCCAGTTTCAGTCTTTTGCATGTGAATATCCAGTTTTCTCAACACCGTTTTTTGAAGACACTATCCTTTATCCCACTATCTATTCTTGTCACGCTTGTCAAATATTAATTGATCATACACATATGAGTTTATTTCTTGGCCCTCTACTCGATTCCACTAGTTTATATGTCTGATTTTATGCAAGTGCCATAAGTTTTAACTTCTGTAGCTTTGTAATATACTTTGAAATCAGGAAGTATGGGGTGTCTAGCTTTGTTTTTTCTTGAGATTGCTTTAGCTATTCTGGGTCTTTCCGTAAGAGTTTTGGGATTATTTTTTCTATTTCTGTGAAGATTGTTGTTGGTATTTTGATAAGAATTGCATTGAATCTATAAATTACTTTGAGTAGTATGACATTTTAATAATATGAAATCTTTTTATCCATGAGCACAAAAATTTTGCTGTTTATTTTTGTCGTCTTTAATCAATTTTGTAGTTTTCAGTATATAGACCTTTCACCACCTTGGTGAAATGTATTCACAAGTATTTTATTATTTTTGATTCTATTATAAATGGAATTTTTGTTTTTTAGACAGAGTCTCACTCTGTCACCCAGGCTGGAGTGCAATGGCATGACCTTGACTCACTGCAACCTCTGCCTCCCGGGTTCAAGCAATTCTCCTTCCTCAGCCTCCCAAGTAGCTGGGATTACAGGTGCCTGCCACAATGCCCAGCTAATGTTTCATATTTTCAGTAGAGATGGGGTTTTGCCATGTTGGCCAGGCTGGTCTCGAACTCCTGACCTCAGGTAATCCACCTGCCTCAGCCCCCCAAAGAGCTGGGATTACAGGTGAGAGCCACCATGTCCAGCCTATAAATTGATTTTTAAAGATAGTTCATTGTTAATTTATAGAAATGCAACTGATTTTTAATGTTGATTTTGTATCCCACAACTTGACTGCATTTATTTATTAGTTTTAATATTTTTGAAATGAAGTTTTTAGGATTTTCAATGTATAAGATAATATCATCTGTAAAGAGACAATTTTACTTCTTTCTTTCCTATTTAGGTGCCTTTTATTTATTTATTTTTCCCTAATTTCACTGGCTAGCATTTCCAGTGCTATACTGAAGAGAAGTGGTGAGGGTGGGCATTCTTGTTTTGTTCCTTATTTTAAAGGAAAAGCTTTTCAACGTTGAGCATAATGTTAGCTGTGGACTTTATTATGACCATGTATAGCCTTCATTATGTTAAAGTACATTTCTTCTATATCTAATTTGCTGAGAGTTTTTATCATGACAGGATGATAAATTTCACCAAATGCTTTTTCTACATCTACTGAGATGATCATATGGTTTTTGTCCTTCATTATGTCAATATGTTGTATTGTATTTATTGATTTGCATGTGTTGAACCATCCTTTCATTCCAGGGATAAATTCCACTTGATTATGGTGTATGATCCTTTTAATGTGCTGTTAAATTTGGTTTGCTAAAATTTTGTTAAGGACTTTTGCATCTATGTTTATCAGATATATTGGCCTGTAATTTTCTTTTCTTGTTGTAATGTGCTTATCTGGCTTTGGTATTAGAGTAATGCTGGCCTTGCACAATGAATCTGAATTATTCTTTCCTCTTCAATGTTTTGGTTTGAGCAGCATTGATGTAATCTTCTTTAAATGTCTAGTAGAATTCACCAGTGAAGGCATTCGGTCATGGGCATGTTTTTTGGGAGCTTTTTTGATTACTGATTCAATCACCTTACTTGTTAATGATATGTTTATATTTTCTGTTTCTTCATGAGTCAATCTCAATACGTCATATGTTTCTAGGAATTTATCCATTTCTCTTAGATGCCCCAGTTTGTTGATATATAATTGTTGCTAATAGGCTCTCATGATCTTTTTTATTTCTGTGGCATCATTTGTATGTCTCCTTTTAACTATAAATTTATTTATTGGAGTTCTTCTTTCTTGGTTTGTCTAGCTAAGGGTTTGTCAATTTTTAATTTTTTTCAAAAAACCCCTCAGTTTTATTGCCTTTTCTATTGTTTTTCTATTTTCCATTTAATTTATTCTGCTCTAATCTTTTTTTTTTGTTTGTTTTTTTAAAGACAGAGTCTTGTTCTGTTGCCTAGGTTGGAGGGCAGTGGTCAGGGGTGTGATCTTCGCTCACTGCATGCTCTGCCTCCTGGGTTCACACCATTCTCCTGCCTTAGCCTCCCAAGTAGCTGGGACTACAGGCACCCACCACCACACCTGGCTAATTTTTTTTTTTTTTTTGTATTTTTAGTAGAGATGGGGTTTCATTGTGTTAGCCAGGATGGTCTCGGTCTCCTAACCTCGTGATCTGCCCGCCTTGGCCTCCCAAAGTGCTGGGATTACAGGTGTGAGCCACTGTGCCCAGTCTGTTCTTCTTTTCTAGTTCTTTAAGGTATAAAGTTAGGTTGTTGATCTGAATTATTTCTATTTTCTTAATGTGGGTGTTTATAAACTTTCCTCTTAGAACTGCTTTTGCTGTTTTGGTATGTTGTGTTTTCATTTTTATTTGTGTAAGATATTTTTTGAATTCCCCTTTTGATTTCTTCTTTGACCCACTGATTGTTCAGTTTAATTTCCACATATTTGTGAATTTTCTGAAATTCTTTGTTATTTCTAGTTTTGTGCCATTGTTATTGGAAAAGATACTTGAAATAAGTTCTGTCTTCTTAAATTTGTTAAGACTTGTTTTGTGGCCTAACATATGGTCTATCTTGGAGAATGTTCCATGTGCTCTGGAGAAGAATTTGTATTCTGCTGCTGTTAGATGGAATGTTCTGTATATGTCTGTTAGGCTCATTTGGTTTATAATATTTTTTTCAAGTCTTATATTTTTGCATTGATTTTTTTTTTCTGGGTGATGTGGCCATTAGAGTGGGTATTAAAGTCTAATTTTGTATTGCTGTTTATTTCTCCTTTTAGTTTTGTTAATGTTTGATTTACATATTTATGTGCTCTGATGTTTGGTGTGTATTTATAATAGTATCATTATATAATGACATTCTTCTATCTTGTCACAGTTTTTGACTTAAGTCTATTTTATCTGACATATATGTGTATATATAAATATATATAATATATGTGTGTGTGTGTACACGTGTGTGTGTGTGTGTGTCTATGTAAGTATGGCCACCCTTGTTCTTTTTTGGCCATCTTTTGCATTATAATTTCTTTTTCCATCTCTTCCCTTTCAGCCTGTGTGTCCTTAAAGCTAACACGAATCTCTTTTAGGCAGCAAGTCATTGGATCTTGCTTTCTTATATATTTAGCCACTCTGTCTTTAGTTTGGAAAATTTAATCTGTTTACATTTAATATAATTATTGATAGGTAACTACTTGCTATTGTCATTTTAATTGTTTTATGACTTTTATAGTTTTTTTCTTTCTTTTTTTCTCACCTGCCATCTTCCTTTGTGATTTGATTACTTTTTGTGGTAGTATGCTTGATTCCTTTCTCTTAATCTTTTGCATACCTACTACAGGTTTTTCCTTTGCAATTACAATGAGGCTTACATAAAATATCTTATAGTTATAATATCCTATTTTATGCTGATAACTTAATTTTGGGGGATTAATTTTTTTTGGGGGGTCAACCTATTTGGGACATTTTTGAGACAGTCTCACTGTGTCACTCAAGCTGGAATGCAGTAGCACAATCTCAGCTAACTGCAACCTCTGCCTCCTAGATTTAAGCAATTCTCATGCCTCAACCTCCCAAGTACGTGAGACTATGGGCGTGTGCCACCACAACTGGCAAATTTTTTGTATTTTTATTAGAGACAGGGTTTTGCCGTATTAGCCAGGCTGGTCTTGAACCCCTGGCCTCAAGTAATCTGCCTGCCTTGGACTCCTAAAATGCTGAGATTACAGACATGAGCCACCATGCCTGGCCTTCAGCTTAATTATGATTGCATAAAAAGCGTTATACCTTTACTTCTTCCCCTCATTGATATTTTAGGTTATTGATATTATGATTTACGTATTTTTATACTGTATATCTAAAAACAAATTATTGTAGAGTTATTTTTAATATACTTAAAACATTTTTATACCAGAGTTGAAAATCATTTATATACCACATTTAGAATATTACAGAATTCTGACTCTGATTATATATTTTCCTTTACTGATGAATTTTGCACATTCATGTGTTTTATGTTGTTAATTAACATATTTTCATTTCAACTTGAAGAATTCCCTTTTGCATTTCTTGTAAGGTGCTCTGCCCTCATGAATGGATTAATATCATTATCGTGGGAGTTGGGTAGTTTTTGCAGGAGTGGGCTCTTGACAAAAGGGTGAAGTTCAGTGCTTATATTCTCTTTGTCTTGTGTGTTTGCTTCTGCTTTTCACCATCTTCTATGAGATGACATAACACCAAATGCTGGTGCCATGCTCTGAGGCTTCCCAGCCTCCAGAATCATGAGCCAAATAAACTCCAGTTTTATATAATTTAGCCAGTCTGTCATATTCTCTTACAGCAACAGAAAACAGAACAAGACAGCAGTTTTTTTTTTCTTTCAGTATCTTGAATATATCATCCTTTCCTAGCCAGGTTTCTCCTAAGAAATTTGCTGATTGTCTCATAGATACTCCCCTGTATGTAATGAGTAGCTTTTCTCTTGTTACGCTCAGTATTTTCTCTTTATCTTTGACTTTTGATAATTTAATTGTAGTGTGTCTTGGTGTAGACCCTTTTGGGTTCAACCTATTTGGGAAATTTTTAGTGTCACAAATCTTGATGCCCCCTTCTCTCTCAAAATTTGGGAGTTTCCTCCTCTCCTCTCCTCTCCTCTCTGCTCCTCTCCTCTCCTCTCCTCTCTTCTCTTTTGTGACAGGGTCTTGCTCTGTCACTGAGGCTGGAGTGCAATGGCACGATCCTGGTTCACTGAGGCCTCTACCTCCTAGGCTGAAGTGATCCTCCCACCTCAGCTTCTTGAGTAGCTAGGACTACAGGTCCTAGCTACTCAAGGTGTGTGCCACCAACTTGCTTAAATTTTTAATTTTTGGAGAGACATAGTCTCAATATTATGCTCAGGCTGGTTGTGAAATCCTGGACACAAGTGATCCTCCAACCTTGGTCTCCCAAAGTGCTGGGATTATAGGTGTAAGCCACTGCCCCTGGCTATCATTATTTCTACAAATAGGTTTTTTATCTCTTTCTCACTCTCTTATGTTTCTGGAGAATATTATATTTTGTTTCATTTGATGGTATCCCATAAGTGCCATATATATTTTTTCACTCTGCATTCTGTTTTCTTTTTATTCCTCTGACTGGGTACTTTCAAATTGTCTTTGAGTCCACTAATTCTTCCTTTTGCTTGATTGAATCTGCTGTTGAAACTTTCCTAATTTTTTTTTCAGTTTAGTTACTGTATTCTTTATCTGTAGGATTTTTTAATGGTTTCTATTTCTTTGTGGAACTAATTTTGTATATTATTTTCTTAATTTTGTTTCATTGTCTATCTGTATTTTCTTGTAGTTCATTGAACTTCTGAATTCTTTGTCAGTTTGTTTATAGATCTCCATTTCTTTAGAATCAGTCATTGGCGTTTTATTAGTTTCCCTTGGTGGTATAACGTTTTCCTGATACCTCATAATCCTTGGATCTTGCATTTCTTTTTGTGCTTTTGAGGCAGCAGCCACTTCTTCTAGCCTTAACAAGTTCATATCAGTAGAGAGAGACCTTCACCAGTCAGTCCAGCCTTTGGTTCTAGATGGACTGGCTGTTAGTGTTCATGAGTAAGTGTGGGTTGCTATTCACACTCTCTAGTTGGTGCAGCCACTGCCCACACTCTGAGGTGGAACTGCTGGCTGTGCTCATGGTTGGGCTGGATCACTGGCTGGGTTCTGTGATCAGGAAGAGCTGTTGGCTGGGCTCTGCATTCAGGCAAGGCTACTGGCTGGGCTCCCTCATAGGGTGGGGATTTTGACTGGCTTTGTGGTCAAGTGGGGCCACTGGCTGGACCTCACAATCACCTCTTGTCAGATGTTGTTGCAGCCTGTGCTCCTTGTGGTACTGTTATTTAGGGTATATAATTGGGCAGGGCTTTAGGCTGGGCTCTGAAATTGCCCCTGGTTGGGTGGGGGCCCATGAAGTGCTCCCTCACTGGGTGTGCTGCTGGCTGAATGCCATGTTCAGATGGAGCCACAGAGTAGGTTTTGTAATTGGTGGTGGTCTCAGGCTGTGTTTTGTAGTTGGGCAGGCCACAGGCTGGGCTCCATGTGTGGGTAGAGGCACAGGCTGCACTGTGTGTTTGTGCTGGGTCACTGACTGGGAACTTGATCCAGGTAGGGCTACTCGCTTTGCTCCATGGTCAGTCATGGTCACTGAACTCCCAGATTGGCTGGGTTTGTAGCCTGTGTCCCACATTTGGGTGTGGTTGCAGGCGGAACTTCAAGGCTGTGTTGGGTTCTTGATCAGGCTCCTTCATGAGGCAGGGTAACAGACTATGCTCCACAGTTAGGCAGAGTCACCAGCTTGACTTCCTGCTTGAGCAGGGCCAGGGGCTGGGCTCTGAACTTGGAAAGCATCACTGTTTGGACTTCCTGCTCAGGCCAGGGCAGAGGCTGTGCTCTGCAGTTAGGTGTGGTTGCTGGCTGGCCTTCCTATCTGGGCAAAGTCTTAGGCTGGGCCCTGAGGCTGGGCAGAGTTGTGGAGGATCCTTGGTCCATTGGGGCCAGAGGCTGTGCTCCACAGTTAGGCAGTATTGCTGGCTGGCTTTCCTGTCTCACAAGGAACTTAGATTGGGCTCTGAGACTGACCTCCACAGTGAGGCTATACCACTGGCTAAGGATGCAAGCCAGACAGAAACTGCCTACCATACTTCCTGGCCAGACAATTTGGTTGGCTTGGGTCTGCAGGCGGGCAAGCTGCTGGCTGGTCTCTCTGATTGGGTGCCACTGCTAGTAGGAATGCAGTGTCACTGCCAAGATCCATGCAGTGATTGCTGAAGCCTTGACCACTTCTTTGCTTCTAGGTGACCCAGGTGGTCTAGTCCTGCCAATTCCCTCAATGTTCTCTGTGACATGGGACAGAGCTGGACCTCCTAGGATGTGCTTTGGAATGCTTTTTGAAGCTGGATAGCTACTTTGGCTCTCTTTTTTCCCATTGAAGAGATTGTGGGCCCAGGGGAACTCCATCCATGTTGTGATGGCGCTTGGGGGAAGGGTGATTCTGCCAAAGTAAAACTCTTACTCTTACCCTTCTAATGAAGGGTGAAACACCAAGCTTGGTGTTTTCAGGATAAGGGGCAAGGTCAGTGAGTTGGAAGCCTAGACAACCAGCATAAAGGAGATATAACATGAAGCTTGGAAGATAAGTAGATGTCACATAACATAGCATCTAAGGACATGGTAAGAAGACAGCAATGACAAAACCTAATATTGTGTGCTCAGTAACCTCCTCTACTGAAAGGCAAATTAAGAATCCCTCAATATTCCACATGACTGTTATCTAGGACACTGACTCCATGGGTGCCTTGAGTAGAATCAAGGTTGAGTCTCAGAAAGAACTGAAATAGAAATGAAATCTGTCTTCAGTACTTCAAACCATTCATATGTATCCCCAGAAACTACATCATCAAGTCAGCCCTACCAATCCACCCACCAAGGACAGTAAATCTGTAAAGGTCATAAAATCATCCAGAGTCTTCCCTGCTTCATCCCACTTTATCTGTCTGCTCTCCAGCCCACCCTGATTGTGCTAATGAACACGTTCGATGTGAATACCCAGCTTTGACAACAGGACTTCCTAAAGACCGTTCTCAATCATCTGGACCTGTCTGCTTCTAGCCCTTTTTTTTCTGAGAGACCCTAGTGTTGAAATTCTATAAATTATCCCTTAACAGGACCAGTATAATTTAGCAAAATGCAGATGCCTTTAACAATATGGTACATATACTCTCACACCTAAACCACCATCAATGGGATCTCCTCCATTCTGTATGTCAGATAAAACTTTCTGCTGCCCTAACACCCACTGGGGGCTCACCTTTCAGGGTCCAAAGGCATTGCACCCCTCCCAGGTCTTGAGGAGAAGGGCCCCCAGGGTAACCTGAAAAGGCATTGCTTTCCCACTCTGACTCTCCTCCTCCTTCCTTAAATCCCCAGGAAACTGTTGGATCCAGAGCCATCATTTCTGAAGGAGTGCCGGAGGAGAGGGGACAACCTGTACGTGGTGACAGAAGCTGTTGAACTGATCAACAATACTGTGCTGTACAATAGCAGTGGTGTGAATATTTTAGGGAAAATTTCTCTTTGGATTACCTATGGCAAGGTATAAAGTTGTCCTGAAGTGGGATTGAAATACAAAACATATAGCCCATCCTGGCAGCCAAGCTTCATTTCCTAGGGGGCTCTGGACTCTGTTTCCAGGGATTACAAAGGATGGAGTCATTATTTCCCACTTCTTACCTGTCAGTGTATCCTGACTTCTGATCTGAGAGTATATTCTAATATCCTCCATTATAGTGTTTTACTATACGGGGTCATGCAGTATTGACAAAATCAGAAATATATTTAATTATTTAGTATTGTGTTTTTCTTTGGGTAAATGATAAATTCTGCAGAATTCAAGTGTGTGACTTCTGTGTTATATACAGTCTAGTTTTGTGGCTGGAAGAGATGTGGGACTACTAGAACCAAACCCCAGTTGTTAAAGTACTTTAAACTCTAAGATAACCTGATGAGAAATATTTCAAGGAGTGAGATCACAGTATTTTCAAGAACATGTGACTTACACGAGTCATTCACAATAACCAAGTATAATATTTTTAATATAAATAAATTATCAAATATTCAGTATGGGTCAAGGACATATAAAGTTTGTGTGTGTTATAATGTGCTTTTACACTATGTCTGTGTAATTTGTCCTTACTTAAGAGCTTTAGAAACTAAGAAGAAACCTGATATGCATACTAACTTTCCCAATGCCAGTGAGTTACTGCTAAAAATTAGACAAATGGTAACAGACCCCGGAAAGCTGGAATAGTGGACCCCCACCTGCAGCAGGGAAGAAAGTCTAGAAACAAGAATCCCCAAACGGTTCAGGAATCGGAGGCACTAGTTATCTCTGAAGATAGGGTATAGGTGGGACTGAAAGTAAGAATATTGATTGGAAATCTTTTTAATTTTTTAAAAAATGTTTGTGGGTATATAGTAGATGTATACATTTATGGGGTACATGAGATATTTTGATACAGGCATACAATGTGTAATAATCACTCCAGGGAATCTTTATAAGGGACACTCAGAGCCCAAATCCCTTCCCATCTCTGCATAGCCAGGCACCTACCCTCACCCACTCTGGCAGAAGATCTTGTGGAAAACTTATTCCCTGTGGATTCTAGATTTACGGAGACTAGTTACAGTGAAGGGTGGGAGTGAGAAGCCATATTAGAAAAGGGAAATAGGTGCAAGTCCTCATTGAGAGTGGGAACATTGAGTCCCTTTCCCCATTCAGCTCCAGGCATCATGTCTCTACCCTTTCTACCCCCACAACACACAGCCTAGGCAGGATATTGAAGAATTATTTCCTAAGAAAATTAACCAGTACAGAAGAAATAACTAAAAAACCCCCAACGACTGGAGACTCCAAAGAGATAGTTTAATCCCTGCCTGGTTGCCCCAAAGTGAAACCTCTACTCAACATGCCCTGCCTAGGCACACTTAGCAGCTTTCATGCTTCACTCGTTAGCGAAACAGAAAAAAATCACAGACACTTGAGGAAAGCCTAAAACACAAAACAAAAACACTTTGAAATTAGGAAATTAGAGGAAACAAAAACAACATAGGAAGGTAAGAAATACTTGATCCCGTTAAAGAGATAATATTTTATTTTCATGAAAGAATAATGCTCTGTAAAAAGGGTATTTATAGCTCTTAGAAATTAAAAATAGAGTAGTAGAAATTTATTATTCTTTTACTTAAATAGAAGAATCAAAAAGCAAAATCAAAGAAATTTCCAGGAAAAAGTAAGCAAAAAGACAGGAGAATGTTCATTAAAAAATTTGGAGGCTAGGCACAGTGGCTCATGCCTGTAATCCTAGCACTTTGGGAGGCTCATGCAGGTGGATTGGTTGAGCTCAGGAGCTCAAAACCAGCCTGGGCAACATAGTGAGACCTTGTCTCTATAAAATATAAACAAAAAATTAGCCAGATGTGGTGGCGCATGCCTGTAGTTCCAGTTACTTGGGAGGCTGAGGTGGGAGAATTGCTTGAGCCTAGAAGTTGCAGCTGTTGTGAGCCATGATTGTTCCACTGCATTCCAGCCTGGGCGACAGAATGAGACACTGTCTCAATGAAAACAAAACAAAACTTGAGGATCAGTCAAGGAGATTTAACTACTCCTGAATAATAGGAGTTCCAGAAGGGGAGAACAAAGACATAATGCAATGTGGAAAATCTTTTAGGAGGAAATACAAGGAAGGTTCGGAGACCCAAAGAATGTGTTTCCAGAACGAAAATGTCCACTGAAGGCATGGTTTCTTGAGTCAACTTAGATCCACCCCATAAAACTTAAGAGTGAATTTTCAGAACACTTACCTCAAAAAGACAACAATAAATATTTCTAAAAGGGAAATAAAGTCATATTCCAGAGAATTCCAGCCAAGAATTGTATGACTAATCAAAATAGCAATCAAGTGTGAGAGGTACAATAAAAATGTCTTTAGATGTACAAGTTCTCAAAAAAATGTGTCCCCCATCTCCTCTGGAGAGAATGAGTAAAGAAACAGAGAAGGCACAGGGACATCACATTAACTGAATGTGGTGATAAAGGAAAGATGGGAGTGGTGAAAAGCAGTTTTGTCCAAGTATAAACAGTGAATATTACCTTAAAAATTGGGATATTCATATTTTAGGAAGATGGGAGAAGGGAAATAAGGAATGAGGAAAGAGAAGGAAAACAAATTCATCATAATCAAAAAGAGAATAAATAGTTAAATCTGGAAAGAAATAAAAACATTGCAATATCAACATGAAATTGAGAAATGGGAAGATGAGCACAGGATGAAACAAGGAAGAAAGAGCAGTGATTGGAAATCACAAGTCAGCAGTAGGCAGGATGAGAGCAGGGAATGCTGGTGGTTTTCCTCATGAGCTTTCTAGAGCCATCTGACCTTTAAAATTACATACATTTAATACTGTATTGTCTGATTTCTCTCCCCAGGGTCAAGGCCAAGGAGAGAGTCTCAGAGTGAAGAAGAAGGCGCTGACTCTGCAGAAGGGCATGGTGATGGCTTATAAGAGAAAACAGCTGGTTATCAAGGAGAAAGGTGGGAGTAAGCAGAGCTCAGCAAGGCAGATGGCGATGGAGAGGGGTGTCGGCTTCTCCTGAGAGAGAAGCGAGAGGAAAATAGCCATAATATGCAATCTTTGCTGCTCTGCCTATCCAAGGAGAAGCATGCACATTTCTTACTGTCCAGGGCACACACCCATCTTACCACACAGAGGTACCTCCAAGCATGGCCTGGCTGAAATGCTGCTACTGGGAGATACAGAGACAGCCTCATACATGCAAAATAATCCAACTTGTTCATCTTGGAGTGTTGTTAGCACTGGGCAAATTCCAACCCTAATCCTAACCATCCTTATTCACTTAAGTACCCTCAGCAACTCTTCAGTCACAGAGAATTACCCAAGCTTACCCATAATCCCATATTAAGGTCCTATGAGGTAACAACATCACAATCACAAACAAAACTGCACACACAATGCCCTAAGAACATAAGCCTGAATTTTATCTACATCTTTCCCTCCTTCATCAGCCTCAAAATGCACAGTTCCTGACCACACACACATTGGGTTTTGACTCCATGTGGGCAGAAGCATCTGTGTCAGTTGCATACCTGGGTGTGATGGTGAGTGCTGGGAACACAACCGGCTCTCAGAGTCCTTGTTCTCTCCATTCCCAAATGCTGAGTCCCAGCTAGAGCTCATTCAAATACAGATCGAGCTCAGCTCCTCATTCTTGCACACACTCTCACACTCTACTGCCTATAGTATCCTCACTGCAACATGGCCAAGGGAATGTCCTGATGTCAGTTACCTCCCATCAGTGGCCATAGACAGAATGAGGCTGAACTCTCTCCAATCTTTCAGTTAGTAGACTCTGGCTTCTGGAAAGACTGACCATATCCAAAGCAGCTCTCTAATGAGGAGAAGGGGTGAGAATGGGATTCCCACTCTTGGGAGAGGTCAGAGACTCCTGCGGAGGGCACCATGAGATGGTGGCACTACCAAAGGTCGTGGTGAATGATAAGATGATTTTAACATAGAAGGAAAAGAAAAGGAGCTGTAGTTTCAAAATATCATCATCATCAACAACAAACAAAGAATGATGTGGTCAGGTAAAAGAAGACCCCACAAAACATGATGTGGTAGTATCCAGATAGAATCAAGTCAGTATTCATTGGTGACTGAAGCCGGGTAGATTCATTGGAGAACAAACTACAGTAGTTGAAGTGTGAATGCAAAGAGGGGAAGTGAGGAACCAGTGTGTAGATGATTCTCGAAGGAAGTTGGCTGTGAGGAGACAATAGGTGGGAGGAGGAGATAACTAAAGGAAGATACTTAGCTTTGGAAAGGGAGTTTACGAGATAGTGAAGACTTGAGCCTGTTCTCAGGCTAGGGGAAAGATCCTGATGAACTGGAGAGGGTGAAGATGAATTGGTGTCAGTTACATTGCTGGACATGTATCTCCATTCCTTGCATCAGCTAGGGAGAGAAGATCTCATTTCCATTTTACAGATGAGATGTCTGACATAGAGGAGTGCCACTCTCCCCGCTAGTAGTCAGAACATGACTTGCAGTCACTGCTGTGAGGTTAGCTTTTCCTCTAACTTCATTCAGTTCACACTTTTCAACCCTTACAACCTTTTTGTCTTCTTCATAGGCTTTTTCCCCTGTTGAACACTTACACTTTAGTGTTAGGTGAGTTTCAGACTTCAGCATATTTCTCTACATGGAATGTGAAATCATCCAAGAAGATGCCAGATTGAGAGTGGTAAGTAAGGCAGGTCAGTAAGAAAAGGGCAGCAGGAAGCAATCCTACCTAGTGAAGGTCAAAGGGAGCTGAGTTCCTTTACTCTATCAAGGTAATTTCCAAATGTTGGATGGCAAAATGATTACCTGAATTGCTTATTTAAATACAGGTTCTATGGCACCCTTCAAAGTGATTCAGAAGGCACAGAGTGAGGCCAGGGGTCAGATTTAACAGGCGTCCCAGTGGTTTTGATACAAGGGGTTCCCTGGTCCCCCAGGTTGGGGCTGTGGGAAAGACTCAGGCAGGAACAACCTCAACTCTCCTAATGGAAGTTCTTTTCCATTCAGCCATTCTCATCTCAGATGATGATGAACAGAGAACCTTTCAAGATGGTGAGTTCCAAAGCCTGGTCTTTTTATTTTTTTATTTTTGTGAGTACACAGGAGGTATATATATTTATAAGGTACACAAGGTATTTTGATACAGGCATGCAATGTGTAATAATCACATCATGGAAAATGGAGTATTCATCTCCTGAGGCATTTATCCTTCATGTTATAAGCAATCCAGTTATACTGTTTTAGTTTTTTAAAAATGTACAATTAAATTATTTTGACGGTAGTCACCCTGTTGTGCTATCAAATGCTAGGTATTATTCATTCTAGCTTTTTAAAAGTGCCCATTAACCATCCTTACCTCTCCCCCAGGCCCCCCACCACCCTTCCCAGTCTCAGGTAGCATCCTTCTATCTCTATGTGTTTGACTGTTTTGACTTTTACATCCCACAAGTAAGTGAAAACATAAGATGTTTCTCTTTCTATTCCTGACTTATTTCACTTAACATAATGACCTCCAGTTTCATTCATGTTTTTGCAAATAATAGGATCTCATTCTTTATTTTATGGGTGAATAGTATACCATTGTGTATATGGATGATATTTTCTTTATATCTGTTGATGGACATTTAGTTTGTTTCCAAATCTTGACTATTATGAACAGTGTTGCAACAAACATGGTTTGTTTGTTCTTAAATCTCTCTTTGGTATAATGATTGCCTGCCTTTTGGTGTATATACCCAGCAGTGAGATTGCTGGATCATATTGTAACTCTAGTTTTTGTTTATTGAGGAAGGTCCAAACTGTTCTCCAAAGTGGTTGTACTAATTTACATTCCTGTCAACAGCATATGAGAGTCTCCTTTTCTCTGCATCCTCCCCAGCATGTGTTATTGCCTGTCTTTTGGATATAAGCCATTTTAACAGGGCTGAGATGATATTTCATTGTAGTTTTGATTTGCATTTCTCAGATGATCAATGATGTGAACACATTTTCATATGTCTGTTTGCTATTTGTGTGTCTTCTTTTGAGAAATGTCTACTCACATCTTTTGCCCATTTTCAATCAGATTATTAGATTTAGTTATGTAGAGTCATTTGAGCTTCTTAAATATTCTGGTTATTAATCCCTTCTCCGATGGGTAGTTTGCAAATATTTTCTCCGATTCTGCGGGTTGTGTCTTCACTTTGTTAATTGTTTCCTTTGCTGTGAAGAAGCTTTTTAACTTGATGTGATCCCATTTGTCTACTTTTACTTTTGTTGCCAGTGCTTGTGGGTTATTTACTCAAGAAATCTTTGCCCAGACCATTGTCCTGAAGAGTTTCCTTAATGTTTTATTTTAGTAGTTTCATAGTTTAAGGCCTTATATTTAAATCTTTAAATGATTTTGATTTGATTTTTGTGTGTGGTAAGAGATAGGGGTCTAGTTTCATTCTCCTGGATATGGATATCCAGTTTTCCCAGCAACATTTATTGAAAAGACTGTCCTTTCTCCATTGTATGTTCTTGGCACCTTTGTCAAAGATGAGTTCACTGTAGGTACATAGATTTGTACTGCATATGTTTGCTGACAGCCCAGGGGTTCAACAGTCAGCTCGTGGTAAGTGCTGTCTGGCCTAGGTCTCACCCTTTAGGGAAATGGGCTCTCCTCTGGCCCAGGGCAGGTCCAGAAATGCTGTTGAAGACCCTAGACCTGATCTTGAGGGCCCCAAGAGCCTGCTTGGTGCACTACACCACTGTGGCTGAACTGGTACCTAAGATGCAAGGCAAAGCCTCCTCTTGACTTTTCCCTCTGCTTTTCTCAAATAGAAGGAGTCTTTCACCATAGCCACCACAGTTGGGAATATGCTGGGTCACAACTTTGGTCAGTACATCTCAGAGCCCAAGGCCCACTACATACCACCTGGGTACTGCTGCTGGTTATTTAGGGCCCAGTGGTTCTTTATTAAGCAGATGATGAATTCTGCCAGGACTGTGTTCTTCCCTTCAAGGCAGTAGGTTCCCTTTTCACCCAGGGGTGTCTAGAGATGTTGTCCAGGAGCTAGGGCTTGGAACGGGGGCTTCACAACTCTACCTAGTCTCCTATCCTACTGTGGCTGAGATGGTATCCAAGATGTGGGACAGAATCCTCTCTACTCTTCACTCTCTTCCACTTAAACAAAGGGAATGAAACACTTTCATTGCTGTGAGCTGCACTGCCTGAGGTTGGGAGTGGGGTAGCACAAGTACCGTTTTTTAGTCACCCCAGCTGGTATCTCTTTAGGTCACATGTCACTCTAGTCCTCTGGCTCTGAGCCCAGCTCAGCATTAGAAATTGCTTAAATATTGCAGTCCTTCTGTCCTAGACTGACCTTTAAGTTTACTTAGGACTCCAGAGCACTCTGGCTGGCATTTGTGAGGCTTGCCAAGAAACTTGAGTTCTGAAAGAAGGAATGGGCAATTCCCCTTTGACTGGGTCTTATCCAAATTTTCCCTTTGTGCACTGGCACTGATTGAGCCCAGCCTGGCTCTGCTCTCTGCTATGACAAGGCAGTACTGAGTTCAATGTAAAGTTTTTCACCCAGTCACTGTGCTCTCCCTCTCTCCCAAGAGTACAAAATTTCCCAGAGGCTAGTCTCCTGTGCTGCGAGGAGTGAGGAGTGGCTACCATCATTTCATACTATCTCTCCAACCCTCTTCAATGCCTCACCCAAAGATATGAAGTTAAAACCAGGTACTGTGATTACTCACCTGATTTTTGCTTCTATGATCGTGCTTTTCTTTGTGCAGACAGTTGTTAAAATTTGGTGTTTGTGTGGGGTGTATGAACCATGTAGGCTTCTATTGCACCATCTTGCTCATCCTCCTCTGGCAGTTTTTTTTTGCCTAGAACTGAGGCACTGCTGATCCCTGACCCCCTTTGAATTCCCACAAGAGCCCTGCTTGGGCTCAGCCCACACAGACCCACAGAGAACTTTCCCCCAATCAGGCTCCTCCATTTCCTGCAACTGACCCCTTCCTCTGACAGAGCCACTGTCCCCTGGGGCCACAGGGAAACCAGGCTTTCTCCTTTGAACATTGGGAATGGTGTGAGTCTGTTGGGGAGAGAGGCTGCCTGGGTATCCATCTCTCTAGGGAGGTTTTTCAACTGAACTGATGGTACATGTGGGAAATAAGGGGAGGATAGAGGAGTTAGAGGTGAGACCAAGAGGGAAAGAAGTAGAAGAGGAAAAGTAGGGGTAGACTAACGTTTGGTGAGTAAACACATTTCTTTCTCTTTCCAGAGCTATTTCTGAGACCGAAATTTTTGAGAGGGCATTTGCCAAGTGAGTGGAATCTGGCCCTCCCCTCCCAGGACAATCTGCACAACAAAAACTCACCTGATTGCCTTTGGTGCTATTACCCAAGGTCTTGGAGTCTGGCCCCTTGGGAAAAGGGCTGGAACAGATAGAGAAGAGGGGTTCAGGGAAAGAAAGGCAGAAGGCTGGAGAAATCCAGTCTTTGAGACTCTTTGGTGAGGAATTTCATTTCTCTTTTTAGAATATGAACAAATTTGCATTCTCCCAGTAGGTGAGTGTGAGTTTGCTGGAGGTGGTGGTGGGGATCCCATCCTGCACACATGGGGTAAGTAGGGCAGATTGCTCCTGCCTTGCCTTTGCCACCACTGCCCTAGGGACTGGCCCTTGGTCATATGGAATGGAAAGGGTCCAGAAAGGCTGAGAACATGGAGGGATGAATGGTGATGGGGGCAGGAAGAAGTTAAGTGAGAGGGAGGAGGTGGTAGGAGAGCAGAACCCTCCAAAACATCTCAAAAGCAAATTTGGGGGGAATGAGGAAGTGAGATGATGACTTGATTCTCCTTCTAGGAAGAATAGAGGAACCCTTCTGGCAAAGTAAGTATTTATTAAGGGGAAACCTGGGGCTTCTAGGTGTGAGCTGCAAATCTGAGCACCTAAATTGGTGGTTTCCATGCAAGTCAGAAATCTAGATCCACTTCCAAATTTACACTTTGCTCATGAAACAAACACATGTTTATTGAGGACTTATTGGACAACAAGCATTATTCTGAACTTGAAAGTTATGGCTGTGAACCAAACAGACATAAATTCTTGTCTCTTTGGAGCTTCCAATCCAGTGATCTGTCATCCCAAGCAGATCACCCTGAGGGCGCCTGATGCCTCCTGGGAGAAACAGAGGGCCCCCAACATCCACCCCATGGTTAATTCTTCATAGACTTTGAGGATACTGGCAAAGTTGCCTGATAATAAGGGCAGCTTATATGTGCCAAGTGCCTTACATACATAAACTCTGTCTCTTTCTTGCTTTTTGAGATGGGGTCTCACTATGTTGGCCAGGCTGGTCTTGAACTCCTGGCCTCAAGCAATCCCCCCATCTCAGCCTCCCAAAGAGCTGGAATTACAGGTGTGAGCAACCATGCTTGGCCTACATAAACTCTTTTAATCCTCATAGCATCCCATTTAACCAATATGGAAACTGATTCCAGAGCACCTAAGATTTTCGCCTCTAAAGCCCAGTGCTAGATTTTACAGTATTCCTGACATGTCCTAGAAATGACCACTTTGTCATTATCTTCCATTAGTGATGATGTCTTTTCAAAATCTCAATCTCTGCTCCCAGTATCCTATTTCCTCTTTTCAGAATGCTGGATTGTCCATCTTTTTAGCTTCTATGACAGCTCTATCCACAGAGCTCAAGTGTGCCATTAGCAGAGACAATTTTGGTTAGTAGCTGAAAGGGATAGAAGAGTTTGGCTCATATTCATGCAAACAGGCTATCATTTCAAGGATGTTCTAATCAAATACTTGCCCCACTTTCTGGTTGGCATTGATGCCTGAGAGCAGATTTCAGGCATCTACAAGAGGAGGTTTTCCAGAAAATAAAGACACTGGCTCAGCTCTCAAAGGACGTTCAGGATGTCGTGTTCTATAGTATCCTGGCCATGCTCGGAGACAGAGGGGCTCTACAGGACCTGATGGACATGGTGAGGGGCTCCACAGTTGCATGGGTCTGGTAAGCTGTAAATGGGATTGGTTAGGAGATATGACTCTCAAGTTACATGGGGGAGGAAGAATAAGCAAGATGCCAGGGGACTGAGAAAGACTCGGGACTCTGGCGCCAGGCACAATGGGCCAGAAAGTGCCACCCCCACTACTGAGGCTGCTTGGAAACCCCGGTAGGAGGTAGAGAACCCTCACCCCTACCCCTTGGTTATCACCAGTAGACACAGGCAAATTATATAATGTTACTGTTATTAGTATTATTATTAACAATAATACCTGTCTTCTATAGCTGGAATTGGACAGCTCAGGTCATTTGGATGGCCCTGGTGGTGCCATCCTAAAGAAACTTCAACAGGATTCAAACCATGCATGGTTTAACCCAAAGGACCCCATTCTTTATCTCCTTGAAGCCATAATGGGTAAGATTAATTAAAGGGAAGAATGGGAGAATCATAAGTTTGGTCCCCAGACCCCCAAAAAGCTGTGTTAGATGCCATGTGTCCAAAGCCCTTTGAATGCCATGATCTTTCGTCCTTACATCACAGCTCTCTCTAAGGTCAGAGGGTTCACTGTGATAACTTGCCATATGATACAGAATGAGTTTAAGGCCTAGGAAGTCACCAGTTTATGTTCATCCACAGATCACTGGAGGTAGGTGATTCCAGCCTTCAGCCCCTGAATCCCATCCTCTGGTCCCTCTTATTTAGCATCCTGGAGACCATTCTGAAGGGCTTCCCAGGGCAGGGAGCTTGACCTTTAAGTCTAATGGGTTTTATTCCTCTACTTTGGAGTTATTCTCTCAGGGAGTCTCCTGCTTTATGGTGGGAGGAAAAATCTGGATTCTTCACTACTGTCTTTCCCCACATGTCCTCTACCCTCAGTGCTGAGTGACATCCAACACGATTTGCTGGCCTGTTCTGTGGAGATGAGGATCCTGCTTCAGCAACAGGAACTGGTGAGAACTTCCCAGGGGCCAGAAGTTCAGGGAAGAGGGTGAGGGAACCAGAGATAAGAAGAAAGATTCTGAGGAAAGAGAGATGATACAGATTTATGCTGGGAGGGGAGTCCTTATCCAGCGGTGGCCACTGGGAAATCCCTAGCTGCGGTGTCCTTCTGGAGACCTGGTCCAGTGGGTATGAGCCTCCCTCAGGAGGGTCTTAGCTTCCATGGCAATCTCTGCAGCATTCCCCAATGGTCTAAAATAGCCATATGGGAGCACAGGACTTTGAGGACTAAGGGGATATAATATTCCTGCTCTACTCACAGTTACCATTTGCTAATTACTTCTGCTCTAGTTACACTGTTATGATTTGCTAATTTCTCTGTTTTTCTCTCTCCAAGTATATGTACATATAAATACGTACCTTTATATGCATTTACTGTATTCTTACATATGTGCATATACATTTAAAAATAAAAACACCACTATTCTATGAGGAGAGTTTTATTTTCACCATTTCATAGATGTGGAACCAATGCTCCCTGATTTCCCATAACTTGATCTGCGGATCATAGGATATGACGAGCATGTTACTTCTTGTCCTATGGATCCCAAAGCTCTTGCTCCTTCTGTTATCCTGCATGGCCCCTGGATGCTGGGCAGAAGCCTTTTCTTCCTGATCTTAAAGGCTGGTCTGTAGAGTCTGATCATCCTTCTTCTAGGTAAGGAGCATCCTGGAGCCGAACTTCAGATACCCCTGGAGCATTCCCTTCACCCTCAAACCCGAGCTCCTTGCCCCACTCCAGAGTGAGGGTTTGGCCATCACCTATGGCCTGCTGGAGGAGTGTGGCCTGAGGATGGAGCTGGATAACCCCAGGTCAACCTGGGATCTAGAAGCAAAGATGCCCCTGTCTGCCCTCTATGGGACTCTCTCATTGCTGCAGCAGCTGGCTGAGGCCTAAGCCCTCCCTGATGGGCAGTCAGTCCAGAGATACTGGCCCTTGCCCAGTCTATGCTGTGAGTGTCCTTATGGGTGCAAGAGAGAGGGCTGTGCCTCTCTGCATTTCCAGGTGGAGTAGAGACAGCAGTGGGTAGAGGCTTTAGGAAATGTTTTGGGGTGGCGGAATACTCTATATATTGACAGGAGTTTATATATTTGTCAAAACTCCTCAAATAGTATGTTAAAGACGTAAGCATTTCACTATGTATAAATTTTACTTAAAAGTAATAAAAACAAATCCTGACTCTAGTTAACAGTGTGCATTTTGAATTGTTTTGGGTGAAGTGTACTGATAACGGTAACTGATATTGAAATGCAACAAAAAGTAAGTTGACTTGATGATAGACAGATACATGACCAAGTAAATGTGATAAAGTATTAATAATTGGGGAATATGGGTGAAGGATATAGAAGATGTTTTTTTCTTTTTCTTGAAACATTTTGTGAGTCTGACATTTCATATTAAATGTTAGCCCCCACGTGTGTGTGTATGTGCATATTCCTCAATTATTAACATTTTATCACATTTTCTTGGTCATATATCTGTCTCATTCTGTGCTCTCTGTGTCATTTGCTAATGCCACCTGGCCTCCTAAGCTGAAACCTGGGAGTCCACCTTGACTCCTCTCTCTCCTTAACCCCCGATCAACACAGTCTAGCCGACTCACTATAGCCCTCCTCTTCTCACCTGGACAGCTGATCTAGTGCTCCCAGCTGGTTGTCCTGCCACCATCTTGTTCTCTTCAAATTCTCCTTGAATCCTGGAGGCTCTTATCACGGCAGGCATGGGGAATAATTTAAAAAATGCAACCTTTATATGTCACTCCTCTGCCTAAAATCCTTTAGAGGCTCCCTGTCATCTAGAATCATCAACCAAGATTTTAAATATGATGTCTCGTCAGAATCACCTTGGCCCGCATTTCCACATGACAATAATCAAGTGCCTTATTACTAGTTCACTCCAGTGTATTCCAGTAATCCTTATTGCTCACATCATGTCTTCACTTTTAGACAGTGTTTACTTATTTTTTGCTAAAAAAGGCAAGAAAATGAGTTCTTCTCCCATCTTGCTCTTCTATCATCTCCTATCTCCAATTATTTTATTATTTGTAAATTGCCAAGGAGTGTAACCATATTCCTCATGTCTGTTTAGTGTTAATTCTTTATTTTTTTTGAGACAGAGTCTCGCTCTGTCACTAAGGCTGGAATGCAGTGGCATGGTCTCAGCTCACTGCAACCTCCACCTCCCAGGTTCAAGTGATTCTTGTGCCTCATCTTCCTGAATAGCTGGGATTACAGGCGTGCACCACCACACTCGGCTAGTTTTTGTATTTTTTTTTTTGTACAGACGGAGTTTCACCATGTTGGCCAGGCTGGTCTTGAACTCCTGACCTCAACTGATCTGCCCACTTCGGCCTCCCAAAGTGCTGGGATTACAGGTGTGAGCCACCATTTCCAGTCTATTTAAATTTGTTCATTGCTAACTACCAGTCATTTTATTTTATTCCTTGAATGGCTGTGATCAAATAATTTTTTCAGTAGTGCTTCACTCCCCAAGTCCCTTCATATTTGAGAAACTTTGCCTGTTGCCTTTATTCTTGAAGAAATCCTTGGGGAGAGATTATATTTTTAGGTAACACCTTCTTGCCCTCAGTCTTTTGTAGCCATGCAAAGGTCTCCTGTTGACTTCTTTATGCCTTGAAGAAGATCAAGGCTAGTCAAATTTTCCCAAACTCTTTGCATATACATCTAAATGTATGCCTGAATAATTATTTCTTCATCCTTGAAGTTAAGCACTTTAATCAGGCAATACCCGTGTCTCAGTCACTCTGTGTCACTTTTCCTGGGACACTGTGCCTTCTGAGCTGCAGATTCAATTCTTTTAGGAATTTTTCCTCTTATAATAATTAAATATCTTTCATATTCTATTTGTTAGATTCTCTACCTCACAGGTACCAATTGTCCTGTAGGACTCTCATATATTATTTTGTCTAATTCCTGCATCTTTGATTTTTTTTCGTCTGCATTCTCTGAGATCACGGCAGGTCTTTGCTCTATGTCTATAACTCAACTGTCAACTATAATTCTTTCCAGTTTATCAGTTCAGATATTGTGTTGTGATCTCAATTCCTTTCCTTAGCTTTGCAATCTCTCTTCACATATTTCTGTTGTTTTATCTTTGCAGTTTGAGGTTTTGCCTTATTAAAGTATTTATCTTAAATTCTTCCATGGCATAAAACAATTCTTTTTCTTGAGCTATGTTTTCTACCTGAATTGATTCCTCTACTCGCTTCTTTTCCTGTAGTGTGTTTGTATGGAATCTCTTGTCACCCTCTACCTTCCCCTGCCATGTAATGCTCATCCTCAGCATGAGCAGCTTTGTCCAAACTCTATTTGCACAAAGACAATAGGGTAAATGAGTTTTTCTCAACTCTCTTATAAATGAAATGAGATGGTTTCTGTTCCTCTGCAAACTTTGGATCAAAACCTGTGTTTTCCAGTGCTTAAGGTCATGGCATGTGGAAGGGAAGGAGGGCTCACCTGGAGGTCTGGGCAGTCTTGGATGATTGCCCCGGCCTCTCTCTCTCCTTCTACAATTTTAAACATTCTCTGTGCCTGAGTTCCCTCACCTCATCAAGGGATTTTGCCCTTTTGGAAGTGACTTCTGATGTGAATTCCCTGAATTCATTCAAGGAACTCAGGTCCTTTTGTCAATCCTTGTACTGATTAGATTGTGGGATCATCATGGCAGGTGATCTGAGGTCAGATTTCTTAATTCCTTCAAACTAGGGTGAATGAAGCAGACTCTTCATTGTTGGAGGAACAGCAGGGGCTCCCATCCCAAATCCTAAGACTGTGGCATTAAGAGCTTTTTTTGGCTCATGAACATCTGCTTTATTCACTCCATTTCTTTATAGGCATTTAAAGATTTCCACCATGCTGGGATGAGATGCCTGACATCCTTTCTCTTTCTCCTTTATTTCACCCTCTTCATTTTTCCCCATTCTCTTAGGAACTACACCAGTCTTCTTCACTGTCCAGGTTTCAGCATAACCTTTCCCTTTGGAAATGGCTTTGAGGCTAGTGGCTATATCTCCAGTGGGCCAGCATCTGAACTTGATCCAGCATCAGGATCTGCCCCAGCACATTCTTTCCGTGACGATCCTGAGTCCTGAGGCTGTAGTCAGGCCAGCCAGAATCTAAGCTTGACTTGTCTATTCCTTCCATTTTAACCATGGATCACAACAAGCAAGGAATTGTATGTTTTGCTCTTTCTTGTTACTTTGCATTTCCTGATGCATTACAATGAAGCAGCCCCCTTAGGAGTTGGATCTCTCTTTTCTAAATTCCATTGCTGGCCCAGCTCCGTGGCTCATGTCTGTAATCCCAGTGCTTTGGGAGTCCGAGGCGGGTGAATCACTTGAGGTCAGGAGTTTGGGACCAGCCTGGCCAACATAGTGAAGCTGTCTCTACTAAAATTACAAACTTTAGCCGGAAGTGGTGGTGTGCACCTGTAGTCCCAGCTACTCTAGAGGCTGAGGCAGAAGAATCGCTTGAACCCGGGACGTGGAGGCTGCAGTGAGCCAAGATCATGCCACTGCACTCCAACCTGGGTGACAGAGCAAGACTCTGTCTCAAAAAAAGAAAAATTCCATTGCTTAACTCTTATCAGTTAAGATCAGAGTTAGCAATTAGAAAACAGAGATCCTCAACTTCTATCATAACTGGTCACTGCACAGGTGCAGTTTTGTATCACAGGTCACTAGGGACTAGGTAGCCATTCAGGAATCAATGAGTATTCATCTCTCACCCTCTCATTCTTTCTCTTCCCAAAGCACATGTTTCAGTGAGTCCGGGTCACTGCGGCCAATACCACTTTTGTGAGATCAGAAAAATGACTTTTGACAATAACTACCTGGAGTCAGACTGAATTTTGCAGATGCAGGGCACTGCCCTCACTTCAGACACCAGCTACAAATTTGGGAGTTCCCAGGACATCTTCACTTTTGACCAGCTGGCTAGAAACTTGGTGTTTCTCACTACATCTTCAGGTTCAATAATTCACTGACACAACTCACAGAACTCATTGGAAGTGTCATACTTGCATTTACATTTTATTATAGCAAAAGGATACAAATCAATCAGCAAAAGGTAGAGTTGCATAGGGTGAGGTCTAGGAGGTTCTGATATGTGAAATTTGTTTTTTTAAAAATTTATTTTGTATATTTAAGGTATAGGAAATGATATTATGGCATGCATATAAATAGTAAAATGTATTAGTCCAGTTTCATGCTGCTGATAGACATACCCGAGACTGGGTAATTTATAAAGAAAAAAGAGGCAGGCAAAGAGGGAATGAGAACCAAATGAAAAGGGAAATCTTTTCATTTGTCCCTTGAAACCTCTTATAAAACCATCAGATCTCGTGAGACTTATTCACTACTACTATTCACTACCATGAGAACAGTATGGGAGAAACTGCCTGCTTGATTCATTATCTCCCACCCAGTACCTCCCATAACACTTGAGAATTATAGGAGCTACAATTCAAGATGAGATTTGGGTGGGGACACAGCCAAACCATATCAGTTACTATGGTGAAGCAAATGAACATAAATGTGAAACTCCCATGTCCTCAGGGACAGCTCACCCTCTTGGCACATCTAGGTATACAGAATGTCGTCAATCAAGGAACCTTACCTGAAGCAGGACCCTCAGCATGTTGGTGCATGGAGGAGTGGCATATGTAATCAAGATTTTATATTTCAAGTCTGTAGTTTTTACAATGTAAATGATAGGAAGTAAGACTCCATTTTGGTAAATCTTGTCTGGTGGTGATATGTAGAAAGTAGAGCTCTAAGCTACATTCTCAATGGGCTGCATATCAGATTCCTAAGACTGAGAAGGGAGGGCATGGGACTTTTATGAATATTAGAGGAGGCAAAAGTAAAATAAATGCATTGTGAATACTATCAATGGAAAGGAATGGGACTATTTTGTGTGTCAGTTCTGGGATGTTACTCAGAAGTTATAGGTGTGGCAATCCTGTTAACACAGTTTCTCCGCCGTCAGGCACTTCACTTATTCCTGTAAGCCTACAGGGAGTAAATGGAAAGGGAATGGGCTTGGGGCAAGATTTTTTTTTTGTCCTTTTGCTTTATCTTTAGGATATTGTTGTAAAATTGGATTATATAATATATGCAAGGTGCTTGACAGAAAGGAGGTGTTAAAAACATTAATTCCGCTTG